CTCAGTGTGCTCAGTGAGATCCTGGATGGTTAACTCAGGGCCTTCCCCATGAACTGCACTAACCACCTGGTCCCTGTAAACACTTTTGGTATACATTCACTTATCCAGTTACGAAGGGCCTTCCTCCTCCTCTTGGCTCCTCCAACTTATATTTGTTTTCAAGGTTTTTGTGTTAAAATTACAAGAATACATGAAGCCTTCTATGAGTCCAAAGAGGTAGTCTCATCATTTACCATCTAAAGCAAATGTAATTGCCCAGTCATCTCAGCTATTTAACAGTGTTTTGCGAGGTTCTTTCCTTTGAAGGGTCGAACAGAGACACAGGGAGTTGGAAGAAGACCTGAGTCACTGATGTCATGTTCTTTATTGGCTGAGTTTAGTGGGAGCTCACAGAGCTCTTAGTACGCTCACAAAACCCACAGCAGAGCTTGCAAGCACGTTTTTCCTCTTGAAGCTAGGAATGCACATAGAGAATGCTCGCAGAGCAGCTTCCTCCCTCTCTGAACGCACAACATGTGGAGATGAGCTGAGTCTAGCCAGGGCCGAGCCAAGCCAAGGCCAGCAGGGCTCACTAGCCTGAACCAAGGCTGAGCAGAGTAACCTTAGCTGACCAGGTGCTCCTTTTCTCTTAAAGGGGCTACAGGCAATAGTGGCTCATCGCCAAACCATCACACACACACACACACACACACACACACACACACACACTTTACATTCAGTGACCTGAAACAGCAAAGTTATAATTACATAACAAACACGCAAGTGTGGTACAACTAATAACATAAGTTGTTTACCCTGTGGTCTTCAAACAGGATAAGATCGGAGGTGAGGGAGCCAGACTAACCCATCCTGACTCCATTTGCAGTACACACAGATACTTAACTTTCCACATCTCTAGGACCTGTGCCTTCAGTTAGGTCCTGCAAAATATGCTCAAGTAAAAAGTGACTTACTCTATTCTGCCCCCTTCCTCCCATGTCCCCTGTCATAGGGACGTGTATATAAAGGCAGCCTGTAATTCTTGGGTGAATGAATGAGTGAATGAATAAAGTAGACTTTGGGCTCTAGATTAAAACTGGAGTTTGATATGAGCATAATATGAAGGGACCCATGGTGTTTAATGACTGAAGGCTGATGTGCACCCTAACACACCTGGGCCTGATTTCTATGAGATGTGGCAAGCACTCACACGTGCACAGATGTAATTATATGACATCTGGCCATGAGCCCATTGCCTTGGAGATGGCTTCACTTGAGCTGCATCCCCAGAGCTGCCTCCCACACCTCCAGGTAGCTATATCTGCTGGAATCTTCTTGCCTTTGCAGCGAGGGCAGCTCCTTGGGTAACAGTCTCCCTGGAGAAATGTGCAAGGTCAGGCTGACTTTAGGTCATTTTAAAACATGTTCAGTCAGACTTTGAAGAGGAAATTTCTTTTTTCTTCCTGGTTGTCATGACACTATAAAATACTCTTTCGGTTGCTTGTTTTTGCACAAGATTCATAAGCTTAATGATCTAAACATCGCATTACTCAGGAATATTTTATTCTCTAACTTTTGGTTGACACTGACCGATCAGCCCACCTGGGCTTCTCAGGATCCAGTTCATTGTTCTTTGCTTTCACCACTCTGCTCAGCATTTTTCTTTTTCTTCTCTTTCTTTTTAAATAGAAGATGCTGCCTTTTTTTTTTTTTTTTTTTTTTTTTTAATATATTTTGCCAAAGAGTACATACACTTGTGGTGGGGAAGCCTTGATAGCCTCCAGGACCAAAAAAGATAATTGGGCATGCTTAGAATTTGAACATGGCAGGTGCAGTCTATAGTAACCTTGTTGCCCTGTTCCCATGGCAGCCTGGCAACCCTTGCTGACCTTGTAGCCCTGTCTCCATAGCAACTCAGCAACTCCGTTAACTTTCCTGTTCTTGGTATCTGACAGCCTAGAGGCCCAGTGCATGATTCCATAAGCAACTTTATCATCTATGTTACCTCATGTAAATTATCCAATCAAAAGTATGTAAAAGTGTGTATAACCATATATGGGGGACAAAAAATATAAAACAGAAAAATAGGGAAAGCCCCAAGAAATTTGTGACTCAGCCTTCAGGAATGAATCCGCTGAACCATGCTAGCATAAATGGCTGTTATCCTGCGAAAGCCTTGGTGTCCTGTCTCTTTCTCATTGAATATCCCGTTACATTTCTGGGGCTCATCTGGGATTTGAACCTGGGACTGTTAAACACTCACCAGAGAGAGACAGACAGAGAAAGGAGCAGAGATAGAAAATACCACCCATTGTGAATGGTTGTACCAGAATCCTTTCATCTCTCCATCCTGTGGGTGTTTGGGCACACATGCCAAGTGTGTGTGTGTGTGTGTGTGTGTGTGTGTGTGTGTGTGTTTTAAGAATTATTTTATTAAATTTTATTTATTGTTATTATTTTAAATTTCACCAGTGAGAGAGGAAAAGTGAGAAAGCAAGGTCTGGGACTCAAACCATGATCAGCCATGTGGGAGGCCAGTGCCTTAACCACCATGCCACCTACTGGTGCCACCAAGTATGTTTTTCAGCAGCAGGGGCTGGGACTCCAGCCATGCTGTCAATCATGTGGGATCTGGTTCCTTTACCACCAGGCCATAGAGCCAGCCCCAAAATGCTTCTCTAATACTTGCTTTAGAAACACACATTAGACAAGTGTAGGACACAGGGACTGGGACATGAAAAGCACACACGTGGTTCCTCTTCGTCTCCCTATACCTTAAGTATTGGGTCCTCAGGGATCTGCCCACTCTTTTTTGCTTCTGCTCAGCCATTTGTGTTGTCTTATCCACTTGTGCTTCAGGGTGCCTGCTGATAAATGACTCGGAGCTCCCCATGGATCTCTGGAGTATGCAGACAACTGCCCATGGACTCCCCACCAGGCCTGCTCTGCTGTCTCCTTCCCTGCACTGCTTGCCTCCTGTTTTCTCAGCCTCATGTGGGATTCCCAATATCCACTCCATCACCCAAACTGGAAAACAGGGACTTTTCCTTGCCTTCACCTCTCACTTCTCCCCTCATTCAGAACGTCAGAAGTCCTAGAAACCTAACCTCAAAAGAGTTTGGAGACTCATCCTTCCTCTCCACCCCAAATACCTTTAGCCTGATTCAGCCCCTGGTTCCTCTCTTGATTTGCCACCTGCAGATGGAATTCATCTCCTTGACTATATACTTCATACAAGTC